TTCTATACCAGCTCATTTATTACTACTTTCTTATTCTACCTTTCTTTACGACACTGCCCAGTTCAACGAACGCACCAAACTATAGCACGAGGTGGTTGCCTCTGAGATTCTCATAATCTTAGAAATATTGCAGATCTTCAACCTACTCACGGCCATGGCTGACAACTTCAACAACATTGTTGAGCCCATTTTGGCAGTCACAAAGCCTGCTGATCCCAAACTCGATGACATCTGCAACCATTTTCTCAATGAAGAAAAATGCTGCACATCCTCCACGAGTATTGCTGCCTTTTGCATCCTTAATGCAAAAGCTTCCTCTTCAGACAATGCCAAGTCAGGCAAGCCTAACAAGAAGAAAGGCAAATGCAACTTCTGCCACTACAAAGGCCACTATGAGCAGGATTGCAGGAAAAAAAAAGGCTGCTGCCACCGAAACACGGAAAAACAGCAATGGCAAAGTCCAGAACAGTAAAAGTAATCCATCTGGTAGTAGTACTAGTTCCGCATCTGTAAAAGTACATCTGAAAAAACCCAGTTTGTTAATCTAATAGTAATTAGCAGTAATGGGTGTTCTTTCAACATTCATAAGATATTATTTTATTCCTGCTTTGTTAGATGAAAGGTAATTAGTTAAATGAGCTCAGCCAACACTCTCTATATATTAGATATAGTAACTGCATCTTATATCAGCTAATTTGTTCTCTCTTCATTAGTGCAAAACTCCTAGTTTGTTAAATATGTTAATTAGTTCACTGTTTGTTATAGAAATGTTAAAACTGTTATTTCATTCTTTTAATACTAATCTGAAGTTCTTGTCATTTTATTTTTGTTAGCTGTACACTATATCTGCTAAGCGGTTAACCATTTTTTAAAGTTACATTATATTTGCTAATCTATTCTCTGAGTATTAATCACAAGTTCTTTGTGTACTATTTGTGTTAAAGGTACATTATATCTACTAAGCAGTTCACTGTTTGTTATGATTACATTATATTTGCTAATCTGTTCTCTCAATACTAATCATAAGTTCTTTATATGTTATTTCTATTAAAGATATGTTCAATCTGTTAAACAGTTCACTATTTGTTATTGTTACATCATAAATGCTAATCTGTTCTTAGAAAGCTATTTATACATTCATTGTATACTCTTCTTATTAGCTATATACTTATTCTGCTGAGCAATTCACTATCTGTTAACGTTATACAATAAATGTTAATCTGTTCTCAAAATGTTAGCTGTAAGTTCTTTGTATACTATTCCTGTTAGCTACACATTATCTATGGTCAACAGATCATTATTTGTTATTAATATAATTTAATATTAATTTGTTTTTTCAATATTAATTATAAGTCCTTTGCATGTTATATTTATTAGCTATATATTACTTACACTTATTAGTTTACTATTTGTTATTGGTATACTATTAATACTAATTTGCTCTGTAAAAATTAGTTTAAAGTTTTTATGTTAAATGTACAAAACATTTTCTATTGAAAAATACATCTAATATTATATTATACATGCTTCAGCTATTATCAGTGCTTTTTAGAGATAAGTGTATATCGATGTTTTTATCATTTAACAGATATAAATATTTCCATAGCTAAGCTATTTTGATAATGTGTCATATCTTTAATATATTATAGCAGTGTCACATAGTATATAAAATTTTGCTGTGGCACAGTTATATTTGATTTTGTGAACTATAGTATTTTATAGTTTTTATAATATATGCCTATTTTCTGGCCGTTTTTGCTATATTTTTTCCGCACTCAGTATTTATATTGAAATAATACCTCAGAAAGATGCTACTGGTAGCCAATATAAGAGTTATATATATACTATTTAGTTTGCCACAGTAATTGTTTAACAAAATGTAGCAAAACTTTTACCTTTCTTTGTAGTGTTATGCATTATTTTAAATAGCCATTTTATATTTTGTAGTGTGTATAAAGTCTTTTACAGCTTTAAATTTTTTTTTACACTTTTTTCATACTTTGACTACTGTTAATAAGTTTAGCTTTAACTTTTGCTGATTTTTATGATTTACTCATATAGTTATACATTTTAGCTTCGAATCCAATTATTGTATTTGTAGTTCAAAAAGATGTAATTACTGTAGCGGAGTGAACGGTACCAACTGTCACGCATAACGCAGGCCTCTACCGGTTGGTAATAACGATACATTTGTCACGCATAACGCAGGCTTGGTTTGTAACCTACGGGTAGTCTTACAGCTGTCATGCCTCCTCAGAAACCTGCGATAGCTCGCCCACAATCCCACTCCATGCTTCCCCTGCATTATTAAATGCCCAGACATTCTCTGCATCTGCATTTGCACGCAGAAGAGAACCATCTCCCTCTGTTCCCTCAACTGCGTCAGTTGGGACACATAGCAGCTCATGTTCGCTAGCCGTCACAGTGTCAGGAAGGTCGAGATCGAGCGCATCCCGTACTACGCTGTGCAAAGGAACATCTGTGTTGTCGTAATCAACGCCGTGGTCGTCCTCCTTCTATACTGTCTCGAAATCTACAGCTTTATCAATATCACCAATTTTACCTCTGATCTCTTCATAAAAGATCTTGTCCGTCTTGAGATATTTGTGGTAAGCAAGCTTTGCCTTCCGACCGGTAACAGAGGCTTCAGAGAGATTCCATTCCGGCACGGAACACTTTTCCCAGGCTTGCTATATGATGCTGCAACCGTGTGAACTGTTCATGAACTTCCAGGCATTAACAATCGCCCAAACTGATGCGTCGCGGAGAACAGAGAGCGAGGTTGTAAACTCAACTTGCTCAGATGTTAGATCCTGATCAAATTGAGCGGCATGCTGTCGAACGAGAAAGCTGAGAGCTTCTTGACAGAGGCGGTGCTTGATGACTCGCTGAAGCCCAACATCTGCTGGCTGGAAGATGCCGGTACAGATTTGCCGGGATGTAGAGGAAGAATACGTTTGGGAACCGTGTGCGAACAAACTCACGGAACGCCTCGCTCAGATGGACAGGGTAACAATCCAGTAAAAGGACTGCTTTCTGATCACGAGGAAGGTTCTGAGCCTTGATGACGCTGCTGATATATAGCTCGAGAACCTCGATCATCCACTTAATTCAGGTGATCGTCATCAGTCTTGTCTTCTCTAGCGTGAGTGACTGTAAGTACTCACCTCCTTCATTGTCTTTTTTGTGCTGAAATGACTAGTGCGCTTCGCACTGTTTGCAAATGTGAAGTGGAAGCCAAGTTCCTTAGCTTCCGCCATACTGGGTGCTATAGTCTTCGGCAGAGAAGCTTTCGTCTTGCCTGACCAGACTTGTTGAAATGGCAAGATATCTCCTGCAGCCGTGCTAGCAACACACAGGGTGTAAGCACGTTTCTCCTCCTTTCCAGCTGCGTCAACTTGGCGTGCACCCTTCTCGTAATATGTGAGCTGTTGGTGCGGGAGAATATACATGTCGAGCTGGTCCATATTAATCCATGAATACGCAGGGATGCTGTAAAACAGAGATAAATGGACAACTCAGAAGAAGGTGCGCTCGCAAAGCTCAGTTGCATTTGCAGGGATGTGGGCAGCAGTACGTGTGCCCTTGCAGACTGACCAGTTCAAGACACTGGCAAAGAACTGTCCAACGAACCACTTCATCAACGTGAGCATCCAATACTGCAGTATCAGGTTGCCAGACGTACCTCTGAGCATTTGAAGGTCTCCAGAAGCTGTGGTGCTTGCTTTTGAATTACCGCCAGGAAGATTGAATGGCCAAGCACGCGGTTGATCGAAATACCTGACTTCCGAAGAGCTCTGAGTCACGTCTCAACCTCTCGAGTAACCTCAGGATACTTCTTCAAGATTCCAACTCGCTCCGAAGATGCCAGAGCACCTTGGTTACCGACTTTCTCTAATGTCTTCTTCGACCACCGCTTCAAATTCTTGCCATCCGACCAAGCAATCCAGGGATGGATCGTGCCTTTCTGCAAGTGACCAAAAAGTTCAGGCATGTCCCGCTGAAGTGCTTGTGCAATAAATGTGGCTGACCAGCCCAGGCGGGGAGCGAGGCGAGCAATGTGAACCCAAAGGAAAGGATGGAAGTAGTTCATCCGACTGTGTCTGCCACGGACAACACCACCTTTTTTGCCATTCCGGACTTGTCGCGACGTCTGGCCCTTGAAACGTGAGACCTCTGCCAGTCTCTCGAGCGTGTTCCTTGAATGTTTGTGGTCAAGGAGCGCGTGCTTTTGTTTGCGAGCTGATGACCCATTGCTTGAGGTTTGCTTCCGTGTCTTCTCTCGATGGCGCCTCTGACGTTCTCGGCTCAGCATCTTTTTTCTCTCAGCCTTCTCAGCTTTATTCTTTGCGTCAATGGCCTGCGCTTCCCTTGCGCCCTTCTCTAGCTGCCGGGAAGTCTTCTCTTCTGATGATTTCTCCTCCTCTGCTGACATCTTCTTCCAGCGTGCAATGAAGGTGTCGAGTTTGGTGTTTTGCATGATGGCCAGTGGAGGTGATGCTGGTCTCGTGACAGATAGATCACGAGTGGCTTTAGCAGGTGCAGGTGCAAATATGTTGGCCTCTTCGGTCGAATCACTGTCTGAATCAACATTGATTACATTCTTGCTTGCCACTGAAGCATCCTGTACAGCAAAGAAACCAGAGTGCTTTGGTTTCTTGGTGGCTAACCTGGCAGAGGTTCGGCCAGAGTTGGATTTAGACTCACCTTCAAATTCAGAGCTAATGACAATAACTCTAATAATTAAAAGCTCAGTGCGAAATAATCTCAGGTATGGGATAGTGCACCAGCCTTTTCCTTGATGGTCTGACCGGAATATATGCCCCAGTCTGCTCTGCTGCGGTAATGAGCCGCTCAACCCAGACTTCGCGCATGAGCTCACGGTCGGTCTCGCTCATCTCACAAAATGAAGCCTTGAACAGTGGCGCCAGCTCCTCGCATTGACGTCCACGTTCCGTGAACAAAAGCGATTGCCCTGTCAGAGCCAGGACATCTGTTCGAAAGCATCGCTCAAGGTTCTGTTGAAGAGCAAATCGAGTCCCTTTGGCTTGAACCTCCTGCTCATCTAAGGCAAAGTTATAGCTGAACTCAGGTGGACAATCTGGGAGATTTCCCGGGAGGTTTTTGATTAATGTGTGCAGGCGGTCGATGCGTGCAATGAGCGCAGCAGATGGCCCTGTATAGTACACTTTTGATGGTGGCATGGGATCACTATTCAAGGCTGGTTCGACAAGTTTGGTGGCAAGCAGTTCAAGTTGTAAATGATTGTGTTGAACAGACAACAAGAAATGTATTTATTTCAGATTTGTCTCAAAGGCCACATCAATATCTTTTGTGCTATGACCAGACTAGACAATGCACGGCTCTCGGGCCAAGTTTGTTATTCCATCATGTCACGCATAACGGTGTGTCCGGTTGGTAACGCGGAGGGCAAGTTGGGATGTCACGCACCCATAGTCGGTTTGTACTGTTCACTCCGCTACAGTACTAGTAACATTAGCTAAATGTCATTAGTATTTAATGTAAGTCATAAAAATAAGTACAATTTGTAACATTTTATAAAGCTATATTTTCTAATGAAGCTGTTTTAAAAATGTATTAAAATGTTATTCAAGCGACAATTAAGCGACAATTAAGCGCCCAAATATATCTAACACTTTAAATACAAATAGATTATTTAAAACAAGTTTTTAAGTTTATATCACATATTTCAAACTGCTGATTGTCAAAGATTGCAGTAATACATTTTACAAACACAAGTAGTAGAATAAAATGCTAGTTTTAGAGCAAAAGGTAATATATACAGCTTTTAACATCACTAACATATTTTATATACATAGACTAGCATCCATGTTCTATTGTGAAAACAGTAAATAGTTTGTTTTTGCTAAGTACTAGCTAATAAGCTATAAACAACTGTATTTGTGTTATAGAATGTCATATTTATTGTGCACTTTATTTATTACTATATGCATACTAACAACATGTTATTTTAACCAGCAGATTCAGTAGCTAAAGCAATGGTTGATAATCTATTGCAAAAAGCCACTGTATGTATTCAAGATTGTTATATTAGCAAATGACAGTTATATCAAATATTGGACATTTACCATTATATACAAGGGCAACAGTTATATTTAAATCTAGAAGTGTGAATATATGTTAAACTTCTAGATTGCACTTAGAAATTATTTGTAAGTTGTTAGCTGAGTGTATATGAAAACATTGAAGTGTAAAGTTTATGTGAGCCTTATAGCTCAGTGGTTAAAGTGTGCATGGTCCAACAGATAGCTTGAAAGTAATAAGACTGGGGTTTAATTCTCGTTGGGGTCTTTTTTTTTCTGAATATTATGCTTGTATAGAGCTATCAATATATTGTATAGCATAAGAAATGTGTATAGTATTAAATTTGAGTTTGATACATTGATTTTGAAGCTAAGAATACTGAAATAGCAGTCTATTAACAAAAAATAACAGCTCATTAATGCCACATAACAGTTGATGAATATCAAATGAATAGCTAATGAGCAGCTCATAAACAGTTCATGAATGAATTACTACATTAGTGTTAATTAGTACTATTTAGTAGTAATTAACATTGTGAGCTTTTCCAGATGTAGTCACAACTATCAAGGAAGCTGCTGCTTCTCAGGCCAAAATTCACTCTGCTTCCTGATATCTCTACGGGGTGAAATGATGGATGTTAGATTCCGGCTTTACATGACACGTAACAAACAACCTGAACAACTTCACTAAGTACACTGCCTTCACATCACCTACATATGCAATACTAGGAGACAAGGCAAAAATGCAAGTAAGCACACTCAGTTCAGGTGTTATCAAAGGCACTATGCTTGTTAACAACAAACTAGTCAATATCAGGCTAGAGAATGTTCTCTACAGCCCTGCAATGTCCAAACAGCTAATATTTGTCTCATGTATCAAAGACAAAGGCTTTAATTTTATCTTTAAGAAAGGACAAGCCAAGATTGTACATCATAGTACTATGTATGGCATAGGAATGGAGATATAGTTGGCTACAAGGCAAGGCTCATAGCTAAGGAGTATACACAAGTTCAAAGCATTGATTACAAAGACACCTTCACTTCCGTCACTTGTCTGGAGTCCTGATGATACCTCATTGTCCTAGCAACCATCTAGAACTGGGAAATCCATCAGATCGACTTTGATAGAGCATATCTAAATGGAGAACATAATGAGAAGCTGTACATGGAGCAACCAGAAGGCTTCGTAATGGATGCAGGCAAAGTATTCTGCTTACAGAAAGCAATATACAGGTTAAAACAAGTGGGACAAACATGGTTTCTAATGCTTAAAGCCTATTTTGAGAACATTGGATTTGCATGCCTTAATGCCGGCAACATATCTATCTTCATTCACCATCAATGAGGGGGATACACTCAAATTTTGGTAGTTTACATTGATGACCTAACTATGATGGAAAACAGCCTTAATCTTATCTAACAAATGAAAGAGGCCCTGAAAGAAGGGTTTTAACTCAAGGACCTTGGCAAACTCAAGTATTACTTTGGCATTTGTGTTACAAGAGATAGAGAAAGTCAAGTTACATACCTCAACCAGGAAATGTACATCGAGTCCATACTCAAACAATTTGAATACAAAAACTGCAACTCCGCATTCACACCACTCGGCACTGACATTGTACTCAAGAAGAACAAGGAAGACCCTGCAGACTGCTCACAAGACCACATTAAGCTCTATCACTCACTTCTCAGCTCACTCATGTACACCATGCTCGGAATCCACTGTTGCCTGACTTTGCCAATACCAGACAAACCCTTTACAAGTACATAGCTGCCACCTACCATGTTCTTAAATACCTCCACAGCACCTCCAACTATTGACTCTGTCTAGATCAGAATGACAAAACCAATAGTCATTTGCTTGGTTATATCAATGCGGACTTTACAAATGACAAGGACAACTTTGTTTCAATGTTCAGCTGGATTTACAAACTCAGTAAAGGCACAACCAGTCGGTCTTCTTGCAAGCAATGCTCTGTGGCTCGAGACACCTTCAATGCAGAGTACTTCGCAGCCAACAAAGCAGTTCAACATTTATAATGGCTCAAAATCTTTGCTGAGTACATCAAACACTCACTTGCAAAGCCTGTCCCTCTCCACTACAATAACAAATCTGTTGTTAACACTGTCCAGTTATCTAACATCAAGCATCGCATGAAACACACCTGCGTCAAAGCTCATGCTGTTCATGAGCAATTTGAAGCTGGCTTGATTGAACTCGTTAGGATTCCTGATGTTGACAATTTGGCTGATATTCTCACAAAGCCTTTATTAGCTGAGATATACAGCCATCACATCTAGTCTTTTGGCCTCATTCTGTATTGCCTCACTAAGAGAGTGTTAAAGTGCCTAGTGGCTCTGGCTCAGCATTTTGCCCAGTATGAATTTAATTAAAGTGGACA